AAAAAAAAAAAAAAAAAAAAAAAAAAAAAAAAAAAAAAAAAGAGTCATTATTTTTTGGTTTGCTTTTGCAGGGGAGAAACAGAAGTAAATAAATGTCTTCTCACCCCTCTCCTAGGAAAGAAAAGAGGCTGGGTAGGACGTATCCAGCCTCTGCGTGCTGGTTGCAGCAATTCGGACAGGGGTGCCCTTGCCTTGCTGTCAGCACCTCTGCACAGCTCAGGAGGCACCACAAAGGGACAGGGACCACCTTCCCCTGAGCCCTGACAACAAATAAGGGGCAACTGCTAACGATTCTCTGGTGTTTATAAAAAAAAAAAAAAAAAAAAAAACGGATCAATTCAAACAGATACTGCCATTTTGTCAACCTACATTCTGCATACAGATATTTTTAAATATCCCTGTTAAAGAAGCTGGAAGAATAAAAAACGTGTTCAGCAAGAAGTCTATAACCGTAACTCAACCCTACTACAGTAAATCGTGTTTTAATTTGAATATATATGCCCACATCTAAATTAATTAAGCAGTTAAAAGAGCACACCTAGAGAAATGAGTGATAATTTCACAGCATAATGAATCTGGCTTACATTCAAAAACTGGAGCAGCTGCCATTCAAACTAGCGGATGTAATGCTGAACTGAGGAACAGCATGTGGTTTTAATCTCTTTTCTCTTACTTTGAAACCCCATCATTTCCTGGCGACTTGTCTGCCTCTAAGGTAAAAGGTGTTGTTTCTTTCAAGTTGCAAGAGAAAAATGGAGAAGTTCTAACCAGCCCCTTGAAAAAAAAATCAACATCAGAACAAACATACCTGAATTGCCCACAAAAAGGGTTGCTTTGAACTGCGTTTTATGTGATCAAACAACATAACCTCAGCCTGCTCCCTCTGTGGGGAAATCCTGCAGCCTATACTCAGGGCAGATCACTGAAGTTAACTCTAATAAAGACACACCCTTAATCCAAACTCTCCCAGGGGCCTCAAACAAGCCATTTACAGCCATAACTAAGGTCTGTACCACTGAAACACTTGAAAGACAAAAGGAGGATGTTGTTCTAGACATTAACTGCTGACATTTAAGACACTTAAGAATTTTACCAACACCTAATTTAAAAATAGAAGCACCAAAAAAAGAACACAACCACAAATTTGATTTCTGGCAACAGGCAGAGCAGATGCATTTGTAATCCGCACTGCTACAGACTGGGATTGATGCCATTGATCTCCACCACAGACCTGAACAATATTCACACCAAACTGTATTCCGAGCGATACTTGGTGAGGAGGATGGAGTAGTGAGGGGATAAAATCAATTGTTACCTACAACTGTTGATTCTGAAGGACAAAAACACCCTTAAAAAAAAAAAAAAAAAAAAAAAAAAAAAAAAAAAAAATCACTTTCCTGAAGTGAATCTAAAACTCAAGTGGGTGCGGGCTGGCAGCGAGCATTCAAGCTGTGCCAGACCTGGGAAGAACGGCGTTCTGACACCCGGCACCCTGCTCCGCTCCCCCCTGTCCAGCTGGGCCTGTTTGCTTTAGCGATTGCATTTTGCTCTGAGCCCATGGAGCGGGCTCAAAGTCCACCTGGCACAACTGTTTGTCAAACCGAGGATCCCACCGGTGCCAGGAGGCAGACAAAAGCTCTGCAGGAAAGCTTCTGCAATGTTTTTCAGCGGTAGAAAGTCTCTCGCAAATGAAACCAGCCACATTTCACCTATGAAGTCGTTTACATAAACCCCGAGGTGTCAGTACCAAGGAGCAAGCCAGTAAATCCCGTGTCTTTATGTCAGTGAATCAGCGTGTCCTCTGACATATGGCAGCAGCAGAGTGCAAACCAATCTGTTCTCCTCCCGTTCAAAACAGGAAACGGGCACCGATCTGAGCTCTGGTTACACATCACCAACCCGCCGGGTCCCAAGGGGAGCTTAAACAACTTAGACACGCACAACATCATAAACCAAACTTTAAAAAAAGAAACGGCACGTTTATAAAAAATACTAACTTCATGATCATTTGGGTTTTTTTTCCCCGAGACCCTCCCAAAACTGCAGTCACAGCTGCATGCAGGAGAAGATGAAACAGAAGTTTATTTAAGGGGTTTTACCCCATCTATGAAATCTGGGTACGTTAAAGAATATGCTGTACTTCCAATTCATTGTCGAACTGCACAGCTACATGACTCAGTAAATGACTCAACTTTCTGACGACGAGGGAAAAGTAAAAGTCAGAGAGGAAGCATACGCAGAGAAGGTTAATGCTACATACCCACGGGTTAGCCATGTACGACTGAAAAAATTCCACGCCAGATCTTACTAGCTGCCTGGCTATCTAATATTATATTGTCTAACTAAGGGATTAAATGCTGGAGTGGAGTGAGTCAGGTAGGATTAGAAACAGCATACTGGTGACTGCACGGGTGGCAGAAGCTTCTGCACAAAGGAGTGAGTCGGGAAAAGCTTTGGTTCTACAAACAGGGAGTAAAACCAGCTTCCAGCTTCACTGCCAGCGAAGTCAAATGAACTTTAATCAAACATGCATTGCGTGTGCTGCTGAAACCCATCACACATAAATTCAGGGAACAAAAGCTATTGCAGAAATCAATAGCCTACTGAAACATTAACACAGGCAAGCATTGATCAAAAGGCCCTTTTACGAAAGGCAGCCTTGCAAATTAGCTGCTGTTTTTGCTTGCAAGCAAACAGAAAAGCATAAACGCTGCTGACATGAATGGCCTGTAATGATCATTTTGTTCCCGGCGATCTCACCTCACCTCACCACAAGGTCTCGCAGTCAACACATCCTACATCTCTGTACTATAATTGCGAACAGCATGATGAACTGAGGCAGTCTGGTGCTTGTTCACGGCAGGGGGGGCTGAGAGCAGCTGCTCTGAATCTGATTTTCTGGGTAGCAGGTCTACACCCAGGGGAATAGTCCTAATCTAACAACCTGCAAATATACTGTACGTCTCCCTTGAAGTTTTTTGTGCCAAGAACGGGGTATCACTAGTCGCATACGTGCTAAAAATCACAGAAAATAAAGCAGACTGAATCATCCTCTGTTGCATCATTATACTCGTTCAATTTAAGAGTGACATCCCCCTCACTTCCAAACGTCAGAGATAAATTAAGGAAGGAGTGAGAGCACTGAGGTGACTACTACCTGTGGTGAGGTCTCTGCCTGACAGTGGAAGAGAAACTCAAGGCTTGCAAAGCAAGATCAGGGAGGGCTGAACCTGCTGCTTCAAACATGACCTCCTCCGTCACTCTTTAACCCGGTTTAGTGGCCCGAGGTGCACAGACCACCTCAAGTTAGGAGGCGACCGGCTCCTTTTGCAGTAAGCACCATCCAACTGCTCCTGCCACCCCTCTCTCCCCTGCACCCAGTGACACGCTCTTGTTTCCTCGAGCTCTGGGACCACCGATAAAACGGGGATTGACCACTACCGCAAAGCCTCACAGGGAAAGGGTAAACCTAAGCGATGCATGCCCAGCTTGTCACCACTTGCAAGGCAAAGGAGTAAAATTTTATATGGCTGCACATACATGGCTGACCCATAACACACAATGAGAAACGTGAGTGTTCAAGGGAGCGGGCCCTCACGGCACACACAAAACCACGCTTCAGCACAGCTCCCAGCCTAAGGAATCCGAGCAGTCCTAATATTCCAGATGTGGTAATACAGCCTGTATTCTGAGGCAGCTGTCCAGCAAGAAGGGTTTCCATGTCCACACGTCACTGCTGCTTTCACCAGAACTGTCAACATGCTGCCTCCAGTCCCTGAAATCCACCTCATCTCTCAGAGCCCCAGAGACCGACTTTGCTGACAAAACCGTTCACTTCACTTACCAATAAATTCAGTATGTTAGAAGGAAAGTCCCAATAAAACAGCCTACATGTCTGCTCCACCACCCCCCCTCAAACGAGCAGCTCTAACTCCTGTACCGTGCCACATCAGAGGAAATGTTATCAGTGCCCTCCCAGCAACTCCACCAAGGAACAGCTTTTTGCATCAGTGTGGGGAAAAGATTAATTTCTTCCCCAGCCTGCTTAGTTGTTCATAGTAAAGGCGTCACCTCCACCTAACACACCACCACCACTCTTTTCTGCAAACACAACTCCATTTTTCCATGTTAATATCTGATTAAAAATTAGCAACTGATCAAACACATATAAACCAAAGTGAGAAGCATTGTTCAGGCTGTTACTGCCACCTTCCCTCGACAGTATCTACTTTCCCATTACTGAAGGCTCAAAGACAGAGGGGATACGTTCTTCACTAAAAACCATGGTTCAGCTTTCATCAATTTTGAAATACATCTGGAGCTCACAACTCCAATCTCTTGCCTTCTCCTGCCAAGGCCATTTCAGCCCATGTTGTAGGTACATAGAAAAAAAGTCACGCTGCATCTCCTTTTAGCTGTGTTCCAGGGATTATTTTTAAATGAAGAAATGGTTCAGATCCACTCCCGCAGGAGCATGCAGCGGTGAGACTTGCTCTGCAATTCAGCTCTGGGGGTTGAGCTGACACAAGAGCCTTCAAGTGCCCGACAGCCCACATCCTCCCCGGCCCAGCACTCGTTAGATTATTTCCTTGGCATGTGGCACCTTTCTCTTACCTCTCCCACTATTTTCACCCATTGCTCCCACTCGTATTTTTCTGCAGCTCAACCCAGCTCTCCAAGCCCAGCACAACACGCTAGGCCAGACCTTACTAACCCTTCCATACCCTTAAATTAAC